CTCTCATGATGTATTCACTACTAATCTTCTTCTTGACTTCAGTGTGCTTGATGTTGTCAGCATGAAAGATGCCCAGGTATTTGTAGTGATCTTCATCCAGACTCATCCAGACTGTTATTTCCATAGGGCATCTTAATTCCTTCAGTTTTCACTATTTTTCCGCTGTTGATGGTAAGGGTGGCACATTGTCCAGTCCAAGCTCCATTGCAAAATCTTGACTGTATGTTTGGACCGTGTTGAGCAGAGATTCCATTTCAGATGGTATTTTTCCATACAGCTCCAGATCATCCATATACAGTTTAAAAAACAATAAAGAGAAAATCTGAAGCATCTGAACTACCAAATTTCATATACCAAAAAACTTGCCATAGATATATCTGTGCTGTCTTTTGGCAACAGTTTGGAAGCAGTTTGTCATATTGTTTTCTTTCAGAATATGCTTCTTTTTTGCTTCTCAGTTAAATCTAGAGCCCTGGGATTTTCTGGTGGTCTCACATTCTACTAGTACCAATGTGAGATTCTCCTTCTTAAGATTGTAAATAATTGTAAAAAATGTTTGAGAGATGCACGTTGGAATATGTGGGAGCATGAATACAGCACCAATTTAAAGCAATTACATCTTTCTTCATGCATCCATGCCAGCCTATAAAAAGAAGCAGCTGCTTTAAGGAGTCATTTGTTTAAAGCAGCTGCATCTTCATGGAAACCATGAGGTGCTGTGCTCATATCCCCATACATTTTGAAGCATCTTTTTGAATCTTTTTGAACTACTGCTTAGTTTTTTCAAAATCAACTGGTTGTTATGGGTCATTTGCACAGGAATACTAAGCTATGGCTCCTATTAATCAAGGTGTAGATTATATTGATTTAGTCTAACATTATCTTGCAGACAGTACTACATCCACATCCTCTCTAGTTCCTCCTTCAGGCCCTGGTACTTCTCCAGCTTCTCATACATTTTCTTCCTGATGTTGTTGTCACTTGGACCGCTACATCTACCACTACTGCTGTCTTCTGGACCTTGTCTACTGCCACAACGTCTGGTTGATTGGCCAATACCTGCCTGTCTGTCTGCATCTGGAAGTCCCACAGGAACTTAGTCTTGTTATTCTCCATGACCTTCTGTGGAATCTCTCACCTGGACTTGGGAGGGTCTAGCCTATACACTGTGCAGATGTTCCTATACACAATGCCAGCTACTTGGTTGTGCCATTCGGTGTATGCTGTTCCTGCCTGCATCTTACACCCTGCCACTATGTGTTGGACTGTTTCTGAAACCTCTCTGCACAGTCTGCACCTTGGGACCTATCTAGTGTGGTAGACCCCTGCTTCTATGGATCTAGTGCTTAGTGCCTGTTCTTGTGCTACTATGATAAGTGCCTCAGTGCTGTCTTTTAGTCCAGCCCTTTTCAGCCACTGGGCGGATTTCCCAATGTCAGGCACCTCAGCTATCTGTCAATGGTACATTCTATGCAGGGACTTGGCTTGCCATGGTACTTCCTCTGCTTGAACTTCCTCCCACATCTGCTGCTGCCTCAAGCATTCTCTCAGCGGTTCATCTTTGGGTGCCATCTTACCGATGTACTCCTGGATGCTCTGGGTTTCATCCATGACAGTAGCCTTGACACTCACCAGACCTTGTCCACCCTCTTTGTGGCTGGTGTACAGTCTCTGGGTGTTGGACTTGGGGTGGAAACCTCCGTACATTGTGAGGAGCTTCCAGGTCTTCACATCAACAGCCTCCATGTCCTCTTTTAGCCAGCTCACTATACTGGCAGGGTATCTGATGACTGGTACAGCATATGTGTTGATGGCATGAATCTTATTCCTCCCATTGAGCTGGCTCTTCAGGACCTGTCTTATCCTTTGGTGGTGCTTGGATGTTGCTGTCTT